CTACTTTCTGTCTCTAAGAATTCCTCTATTCTGGACAGTTCATATAATTGGAAGAAATAATGTTAGGGAGCTTTGGTGAGACTGGTGGAACCCTCCTTTGGAAGATTTATTTTTGTCCCCATAATTTTTGCAAGAGATTGGGCATGGGCCATGAGGTGCAAATAAAGTTTATAAATTTTGTGTATTTTTTTAAGGTTAGAAATATTGTTCATCTTGAGATGATTTCTCTTTCTTCTCATTTTAATTTTCCTCTTGGGGATATAAGTTTCATGGGCTTTGGTGAGGGCGAGGAGCACCTCCCCTTAGAATTTCTTCTTTTTCTTAAAGTAATTTTCAGGGGAGGGATAAGTTTCACTATCTGGGGTCACTGCCCCTTTCCTTTTTTAAAATTTTGATCTTGTTTTTCTATTTTGAGAATAAGGTCTGTTTGCTTTGGTGAAGGTGGCGCATCTCCATTTAGGAATGAATGCTTGCTTTCTTTAATCCTTAAAATTATTTTTTGTCCACTGAGGGAATTACAGTTGATGGGCCTTGGAAAATCTGGGCACGTCATTCCTAGCAGAATTTTTTCTTTATTTTATTTTTCCCCCCACAAAAGGTCTTCTTTGGGAGAGATAGGTTCAGGGTCTTCTTCCTCTTCTCCTTCCTTCCCAGGCTCCTATTCTATGATGGCCCCTCTGGGAGCATCAGATGCTTTGGGAAAAGTCAGGGCTGATGGAATGTCAGCTTAAAGATTGTTCTTAGACAAATTAGGATCTTATGTATCACAGAAAGCCGTATGTTGGATATTTTTAAAAATTATAATAGATAACTAGTTGTATCCTATTAGGTGTCAAGTTTTATTTTTGCCCTCTCCCATTCTGCTGCCTTCTTCAGGAGAATAAAAGAGTTAACAATGCAGAGGAAAGTATTCTGTAAACTGTAATGTGACAGACTAGTGAAAGGAATTATATAATCCTTATTATGATGCCCCTGAATGGTTTCCTGGCCTCTGTGGATTTTCCCCCTTTCCTTGGAAGCACTTTGGGTAATGGCTCAGCCTTTCCTTTTGGGCTAAAGATCTGCAGAAGCCCCAGTCTGAGATTTTAATAAACACATAAGAATTGTATTCTCAGAAAAGAAAGACCACTGACCAAATATCTCATTATCTTTTCTAGAACATCCTGCAGCAAATGCTCAGGAGCTCTCAGAATATAACAAATAAATCAGATGGTATTATCAAAACCCGGCAAGAAGCGGGGAAAGAACCTAAGAGGAAAGAAAGTAATTTCATCCTGACCTTCAACAGGTTAAACACTTGAATCCACAATTCTGAAGCTGTTTACAGTCACTGCAGATATTCTATTCACTTAGGATAAAAATTTATTACCCCTGAAAGCAACAAGATCATCATTAGTCTGCTGCTGCCGGGACTGCAGGGGATAAGGACACTTTCTAAACCTTTTTTTTTTTTTTTGATTGTTAGTAATTTGCTTCTTAATTATGGTTCCAACATCCATTCTGAAAATGGAAAGATGGACTGTATTTCCTTAAGCGCTACATATTCCAGGCTATTTAAATAAGCATTTACTCCTCACTCTGAAACCAATGAGAACATATTTTTATTCATGCACAGCAGCAGTCTCTACAGTGTTGCTGGAAATGGAATGGGCAGATTTCAAGCTTGAACAAGTGTTTATTGAGCAAAAATAGGGAGGGCTGAATTGTGTTAAGTACAAGTCGGGAAGAGAGACAGTATCTATTTTTGAGGAGCTCAGAAATAGGTAATAGGATAAAGTATTCAGGCAAGAATTATCAGATATCATTTAAGCAAATGCTCGATACTTTGCAAGAAAATGTGCAAAAAAAAAAAAAACCAAACCAGGAAACTGTTGTGTTAGGCTTTGTGGTGTAATAGTAACTGCTGATCGTTATTAGGAGGTATATACATATGCTTCCCCATTGCAGAAATAAAAGCCACAAAAGTGTATTTCTTCTCAGATTGTCATCAATCACCTGTATGGTGTGATTATAATTTCATAGCTGGTCAAACTCAATGAATAAAAATATAAACTCTTATTTTTCCAACCTTAGTTGAGAGGAGAGAAACATATATGGTCCACTTCATTTAAGCCCCATTTCCCCCAAGAGAGTTATAGCATTGTTAAAGAACCAATTCACACATCCTTACTTACGCTTGCTGCCACCAGGTGGGAGACCACCACTCATTTCCTGGAAATGAAAACATTTTAGAAAGGAAAGAAATAGACAGATTTGGTTCACAGACTATCTTATCCTGGTATCTATTCAGAAAGAAAATGTGAGCCCCGTTTTCTCAGTCTCTACCCTCATGGTTGGCATAGATTTGCAACCAGCAGGTTCTGAAACCCCAAAAGAGAGCAGACTACACAGCGGAAGACATTGGTTTTTATGCTGCAACACCAGTTAGCAAAGTTATCTGGGAGAAACCTGTAGTCACATCCAAACACTTGGTTTTGCTCATTTCATCCTTTGACTTATCAGGCTAGTTTCAAGCTACTGGTACTGACTGTGCCCTGACATGTAGGATTTCATCATACGATGAGAGCTGTGTTTTGTTTTGATCTCTGAAATTGTGTGTGTATATACATGTTTTTTCCCAAGCTTGCCTCCAGGAGGCAGTGTCTGAGAACAATGCCACCCCAGCTAAGATGGCAACCTGTTTGCCTTGAATTTTAAGATGGAAGTCAGCTGGTAGCAGGTGCTGTTTGCCTGAGGAGGATGCAGCAGAGAAGGGTCCTATCACTGAAGATCAGATGTTCCCGTATGCACCAGAGAGCAATTGCATAGCAACACATAGAGTGTTGGAGAAGGGTTAGGCTTCCAGCAATCTGAACATTTACCCAGATGCTTTGCATTCTTCAAAATCCTCTAGAGCCACTGACAGGTTCATCTACGTGGCCCTCTTAAAGGATGGTCAGGGTTCTTAACCCCATTCTACAAGATAACTGACTGAGCAAATGACCAGCTCTACCAAGAGCAGTCAAACCCCTGGGGGTCCTGGTCCCCTGCCAGGACTGTCAAGTGTCTGTGGGTCAGTTGGTCAGCACATCTGAGTGGGCACTACGTAGAAGAAGCTAACCTGATTCCCTTTACCTTTATCCTCCTTATCTGTCTGGAAACAGACGTTTTCCTATCAAGCTGGTGGGAGATGCTTTCCCACTGTCACAGGGCTCACCTTAGGACCTCCTGGACTCCAGTCAGTCTTCCAGAGGCCAAAGGGGCCATGTAGTTGCTGGCCATCTTGGTACTTAAGTTTTCAAGTGTCAGTTCGTCAGCCATGTTCCTGAAATCTCACTTAAGAAGGCCACAGTTCAGGTGGTCCTTGCTGGCCTCCCTCCCACCTGCGTCATGCAAACTTTTCCAAAAAGACAAGAGCAAGCACCCCGTTAGGGTTAGGGTAACCTCCCATGTCTAGCTGCCCTGCCCTTTCTTTTCTTGAGATCACTGCAGGGAAGGGCCATTGCAGGAAGGGGAGAGATCCACCCCCTGGTGAGAGCGGGGTTGTTGGATTTAAAAAAATTGTGTTAGTCTCAGACTGCCCTATTTTATTTATTTTTAAACCTCTGCACTTTTTTTCCCTGTGAAACTTTTCGCCTTAGCTTTCCTCTTTTTCAGTTGTTTATCATTGCAGTTATTTTGCAAACGCAAGCCTCCCTGCGCATAACTCAGGAAGCAACCAGCGCTTCCATTTCTATTTTGCGATGCCAACCTCTGCTCCCTCCCCTTTACATTCTACAAGTGTGTGGTCCACAGCAGAAGGATTCCAGAAAGTCCCTACACCCTACCAGGCAGCAGGATGGACAGGCATTGTTGGTGTAGTGTAATATTTGTTTGTTTCTATCTGTTTTGTTTTGTTTTTCCTGCAGGGGAAGCTAAATACAGGTGTATGTATGCATCATGATGATTTTCATAGTCTCGTACAACAAAGTTTACGGGAAAGGAAGAGTAGGGGGAGCACAGAGAAAGCAAGAAAGTCAGACACTTGCTGAGGAACGGATGGGGTTTCAGGGGTCCAAGGCAAACACCAAAACCTTCTTCCTCCCCTCTCCCTCCTGGGAGGGTGCCTGAGAATCCTCCACTGTCTTCTCCCTGCTAAGTGCAACGGTTTACGAAGCCATCTCTGAAGACTGGAAGAGATGAGAGTTCCCATTCACACTCTCTCAAATGCCAACTCCTGTTTTCGTTTCTCTAAACCAGGACTCCCGTACCTTTCCAACTGGCCCCGGTGCGGAATGCCAGTCGCCCGCTTGTGACGCGGCCCGTCACTGTGTTTGCACCTACCTGCCGGGAAATCCTGCAGATGGATGGAATGGTGGCTTCGACACACGCATGCTCTCCCCCTCCTCCTCGGTGAACCCTGCCCTTCCCCTGCAGTGCGCGTGGGCGCCGCCCATCCCCTCATCCCCACCCGGAGTGTCAGCGCCCAGCAACTGGCAGAGGAGCCGGACACCCCCCTGGAGCGCCGCCAGTCACGCCTCAGCTGAGGACCCCCTCCCCAGTGGCAGGGAGGGGGCCAAGCAGACAGCGGCGGCTCCGCAGCTTGGGCCTCTGCGGCAGTGACCGTGGCTGAGGTGTGTCCCACCGGCCCCACTCAATCCCATCCCTGTGTACCCCGAGCCAGTCCCAAACACCTCTCTAGGTCTGTTGCACTCCCTGGGGGCATCTTCCTCCTCTTTTTCAAGATACAGGCGCTCACCGCACTGTCACTTCCCCCCACGGGGAAAAGTGCTCCGACTCCCACCTGGTGCTGTCACCCCTCTTTCTAGCCCCAAACAGCCCACTCTCGCTTCCACATGTTGCTTCCCGCCTCCCAACTGCTTCCCACTCCCCCAGGCTCCCTCATGCCCGCATCTTTCTGAGCATCTTTGCCAGTCAGTGGCTGCCAAATGGGATGCTAAAGGTACCCAGAGTCCCGCGAGCTTGATAGCCATCCGGCTTCGCCTTGCTTTTCTCCCCTCTGCCCCAGGGTGTCTTTTTACCTTTATGCTGGACAACAGCACCGGCGTTCGGGGCGATGACGAGGTTCCCAGACTCCTCTCTGGAGCGACCACCGGACGTTGCAATAGACCTGGTGCTGGACTCGGCTCCGGACAGGACTCTGGAGCCGGCTCACGGCAGGACTCCGTGGCTGGTTCTGTGGCTGGTTCTGGGGCCGGCTCAGGGGCCGGTTCTATGGCTGGTACTGGGGTCGGCTCTGAGGCCGGTTTTGTGGCTGGTTCTGGGGCCGGTTCTGTGGCTGGTTCCGGAGCTGGTTCTGGGGCCGGTTTGGAGGCCGGTTTCTTGGCTGGTTCTGAGATCAGTTTTGTGTTTAATTCTGTGGCTGGTTCTGGGCTTGGCGCTGGGGCCGGTTGTGTATCTGGTTCTGGGATCGGTTCTGTGTCTAGTTCTGTGGCTGGTTTTGGGGTCGCCTCCGGACAGGGTTCTGGAGCAGGCTCTGGACAGAACTGTGGTGCGGGTTCTGGCGAAGGCGCGTGGAGCAGCGGAGGAGCCTGCGGCGGCGGTGGCTGCGGCGGCGGCCACGGCGGCGGCGGCTCTGGAGACTCCGCGGGCTGCTCTCCATCCTGAGGCGGGGCAGTGCCCTGGGCCGCGGCAGCTCCGCGGTCCATGGCCGCACACCTCCTCAGGTCGGGCAGCCTGCGCCCCAGAGCTCGGAGGGCTAAAGTATTCTCGGGCGCCCCGCCCACTCCAGTTCGACAACCCCTTGCAGGGTGCCAAACTTTCCCCCGCCCCACTCCATGGCTGGCTCGGCTCTGAGGTCTAACCCGGGGGCGCTCAGCGACTCTCAGGGCTGGAACACGCCCCTCGGTGAGCGCACACCTCTTCGTAAGCAGCCACGGGCCCGATGGGCGGGAAGCAGAGGGGCTTGCGAACGCGGACTGGACAGAGCGCTTGATGACCTCCTAACGACGCGCGGGAGGGGAGGGGGCAGACAAAAAGGGGAGGGGGAGTGGAGCAGCGTTGAGGGGGGTGGTTGGAGCCTGGCCGCGTTTAACCCTTTAGTGACGCAAATGCAGGGAAAAAAAAAAAAAAGCCTGAGGCAACTTGAGGGTCTTTGTAATCCCCCTAACCACTCAGCTGTGAGCTGCTGCTTATAACAGCTTCCATCCTGTGTCTGCTCTCTCACCTCAGCAGCAGGTGAGCCTAGCCTCGGACCAACCTCTTGCCCCCATCTCCAAGCCTCTGTGGGCAAGTAATCTTTTTTTTTTCCTAACCCGGGAAAAGAAATTAAGCGGCACGGGGTGTGTGTGTGTGTGTGTGTGTGATCCTTTAGATTGAAGTAAAATTTACCCTCCCTCTCAGTTTTGCATTTCTGAGCCTTGTCAGATCCGAGCGGTTTGCCGTTGGGTACAGGGTTTGGGGTGCCTCAGAAAGGTGTGTGATGAGGGAGGGCTGGAGCCCTGGCTTTCCGCAGTATGCAGATATAGCCCAAGCGCAAGGCAAGAGTGCTGGGGAAGCGGCGGCTGCGCTGCGCGCTTCAAAGCCTCAAAGCCGAGGCTGCCCTGGTCTCCGCAGCGATCCGGCCGTCTGTCTGGCTCGCCTTTGCCATGGGAGACTGCCTTTTGCTTTAGCTGGACTTCACAGGCATCAGCAGGACTTTTTACTGAACTTGTTAATGTGTGTGTATCTCGGATTGGGGGAAATTCGCAGCAACACCCACACCTCTTTCACCTCTTGAAACCTCCGAAGCACTTTGACGTTAGGGTTGGAAGATTCTCTTGCGAAAGAACGGCGGGTCCCTGCTGCAGCACCCTTCCACCACACAGGGAGACTTTAGAAGCTGTCTAGATTATTAGTCACGTACGCATACATACAAACCATCACCTCAGTCAGACCTAGACTTTAGACGCCCATATACTGCAAAATTGCAATTGAAAATTGAGAAGACCACCCTTTAAGCCGCTGTTGTGTGGGGGATGCCGGAAGGAGTACCTCTAAACCTAATTTGAAATATGACGAGTGAATTTATCTCTGATAGACATAATGCTGCAGTTGTGGATGGCAGCCCCTCCTCTCGCCCTCTCCTCCCAGACCATATCCTCCACTAATCTCTCTTCTTTTGCCAACTGACACTGACCCACCTGGATTTTTCTAGAACCTACAGCATTTTTCTGTTCCCTACACCACGTCCCAGCAGTTAATAATACCGCAGAAGACAGTCTCACCTAGCTCCCTCCAAAGACCAGAATCTCTGATGAAATCTGCATTTCCCAGATCCTCACTGCAGCGTCACAGCCTAAGCCCACCCTTCTGGAGAAGCATTACGCTGCTTGGCAGCTACCAAGCTAGTGTGGCGACCATCTCTAACCTCTGGAGCTGGGGAAGCCCAGGGGACTTGAGCACTGTCTATCAAGTCCCTCACTGATGGCGGGCCTCCTTCCTGTAAAATCCACACGAAAGGCTCATGGTCTTCACCCTCCTTGGGCTTTCTCTCCTCTCTCCTGTCCCACACTCAAGCAGCCAAGCTGCGTTTAACCCTAAAAGTTTAGGACTCAAACATCCAGATGCCAGATCTGACCAGCCAGTATGCCTACACTTGGAGCTGACTTCTCAGGCTTTCAGACTTTGGTGAACTCTGTCCTTAGAAGGAACCGATATCTCACATTTAAATCTTGTTTTCACTAAACCCTGGCATATTGTTAGAAGGGCTGAAGGCAGAGGAGTGACTGAGTAGGCTGGCCTCTTGGCTTAGAGAGCGATGAGGTGGCATCTGGCATAAGCCAGGTGTTGTCGAGCATGACGCCACCAGGGGACAACTTGGAGCTATTGCTTTATATATGTTCGTTGATACTCTTGTCTATAATTCTATACTTAATCCCAAGGAGTCCAAAATTTATGATGTAAACTCTTGCTGCAAGGTCAGTTTGAGGTTGAATGCTAGAATAGTTGTTTGTGCTGGCTTTTGCTTCGTTGGGGGGGTTACTAAAGATATACTGCCTGTATTGTATTATGGTTAATTTAATTAAAAATTTCTCAGCACATCACAACCTGCCTTATTGCCTTATGTTGTAGCAAGGTTTTATTTTTCTTTTTAGTCTCTCCTCAGCCCAGCCTCGAATACAATGCTTTACATGAGACCATGGGACAGGGGTGGGGGGTGGTGGAGAATGGTTAGAATGGATTGGTTTGTGCCTGACTTAGGAGGCACATTTGCTGTATCTTATCTACACCTTCCTCTCCCCCATAGTCTGCTGGTCTTTTAACAGAGAAAGCTTTACTTAGATGCTTGCGTATTTTCCTCAAAACCTAACCTGGGGCTGAGGCCATAGTAAGGATTTGGGAAATGTGTGTTAAATAGATGATTCATTGCAGGTTACGGGTTAAGGTGTCTTTTTTTACTGCATTGCTTTTTAACAGTATTTGATATTTCAGATGATTGATGATCTCCAAAGAGGCTCTTTTCTAGTTGAACAATACTGATATACAAGCCAAGAGCTACATGAGAATAAGAAGGACAACCATCTCCACAGAGGCTTGAGGGGACATGGTTCTGGGTGTCTCAGGGCAGACATGGTTCCTAACCTGGAACTTTTGAGCATGTTATAGAAGTTACCCAATTGGGCGGTGTGAAGGATTAATCATACAGTGGGCTCATATCTTTGAGTACGCAATGTGCTACCTCACTCCACCCGCAGCATTTATCCTGATTCCACCCAAAATAAAATCCATTCAAGCTAGCATGGAGATCTTTTGATTCTAGGCATGCCAGGAGTTCTGGAGACGCAGAGGAGAGAACCTGAGAAGTGTAGCAAAATTAAAGCTTTTATTCCTCCTTTTTTTAAAAAAAATTCTTTTCATTGTTGAATGAGAGAGTGACATTGCAGAGCTAGAGGGGAAGCCCTTTTTTCCTTGACCAACAGCATCAATTTTCTTAACCCCTTCCTTTTAGAACAATTTAAGGAAGAAATAGGTGTTTTCCTGAGTCTTAGCAGCTGCCGATCTCTCACACTCCTGCCACCTCAGGATTGTGCAAAGCCAAAATTGCAACCTTTATAATACTCTACTAAATAAAATAAAGAGTTGAGATGAAGAACAACATTTATGAAGAAGGTAAAGTATTCAGAGAATTAATTTAAATGGAATTAACATGTAAACCTGTTATCTGTCACTTGCTCTAGTCTCCTAGGATTTAACTGATACAAGATTGAGAGTTAGAAAGTTAATATCTTGCATTCATACAATGCTTTTTGATTTTTAAAGTACTTTCACATATCTCACTTGAGCCTCACCACAGATGTGTGAGGCAAAACAAGTCTGGACTTCCATCCCACGTCCCCGCCCCCTAACCTTTTACAGAGGAGACAACACAAGTCCAGTGAGATTAAGTGATATGTCTAGGTCACAGAGGTAATTAGTGGTGGAATAGACATTTAGAACGTGTGTCACTTAACTCCCAGCTGAGGGACACGAGAGCGTAGTACTGAGTTGGAGGTTGTGAGACAGCGGCTGTGTAAATCCTCCAGATCACGAACTGGGAAGTCTGCCTTAACACCCTTTTATTTCTTGAGCCCGTAAGAAGAGCGGTGATTCTTACATTTGTACCTTGAGGTTTCTCCACTCTCAGTCTCTCTTTCTGGATGGTAGTTAATGATCTGTAACCGAGCTCACTATAGGAGGTCCCTGTTTAGAGGAACCTTTTTGAATATGTATGTAATATAATAATCCATCCAGAGCATACTCGTTTCATTGGTTTTGTTTTTATATTTTCTTGAAGTGAAGCACTCCACTGCTAAGATGCATTTACTACCAGTCTGAGGTGTATGCAGCTCTTTGAGTTGCCCTTGGGAAGGAGAAGAGGGGCCAGAAATATTATACATGATCCCTTCCCTCAATAATTACTAGAAGTTGGTGGTTGAGATAAGCCAAATACAGGTGAAAAACAATCCACCCACAGATGTCAGTTTATAATCATGACACCACACATTGTACTTGTGTGTGTGGGGTGGGATGGTGGGGACAAAGTGTGACGGTGTGGAAAGGAAATTTCAAAGGGAGTCAGGACATCTGGCTTCAGATTAAGTTTCTACCACTAAACTCACAGCATGACCTTATACAAATCATTTAATATGTCTGGGCCTCAAGTTTTCTCATCTTAAAATTGAGGATGGGGGTAAAGTTGAACTTGATTAGCTAGCTTTAAAGTCTGTTCTAGCACAAAATATCGGTGATACTGTGAATGAATAAGCGAAAGTCTCTTGGAAGGGGGCATATCTTGAAGTGGGTCTTGAATGATGCAGTTAATATAGATCAGCAAGAAGGAAGTGGAAAGGCAATACAGGCAAGGAGAGGGGCAAGAATTAAAACCCGGATGTGAGAATACACCAGGCTGGTTGAGGTAGAAGGACCATACCAAGGATTAATGAAAAATGAGGTTAGAGCAGAGTAAGTGGTAGAAAGAAGGGGAGATGTAAAAAGGCTTTGAATGCCAGAGTGAAGCATTTGAAAAGTTGATTTTAAAGGTAATTGGGAGCCAGTGAAGGTTGTTTGAGTATAGGTATGACACGTTAAAACCTACCAGTGAGAAAAATTATACTTGACAGTGTACTTGGTCCTAGAAGCCTCTACATATCTACTTTGTTCCCCTTGAGCTGGCATCCAGTTAATTCAGGGCCATTTGTGAAATCATTTTTGTCTTGATTTTCACTGTAACCTCCAGTTTCAGGTCTGCATTGCCAAGGCTTGTGCCAAGGCTGCTGGCCTGACCTGCTTAACCACC